GGTGCTCATTACGAATATGGCACTCATTTCTAAATCCAAGATGGCGGGCACGATTTTTTCAAAAAAATGCAATATGGGTATCATTTTCGAGGTATTTGGGGATGCTCATTACGAATATGGCACTCATTTCTAAATCCAAGATGGCGGACACAAGTTTTCAAATAAATGCAATATGGGTATCATTTTCGAGGTATTTGGGGATGCTCATTACGAATATGGCACTCATTTCTAAATCCAAGATGGCGGACACGAGTTTTCAAATAAATGCAATATGGGTATCATTTTCGAGGTATTTGGGGATGCTCAATGTGAATATGGCACTATTTGTAAATCCAAGATGGCGGGCACGATTTTTCAAATAATGGCAAGTTGGGTATCGTTTTCGAGGTATTTGGGGGTGCTCATTACGAATATTGCTTTTGTTTGAACTGTCGTGTTTGCCATCTTGGATTTAGAAATGAGTGCCATATTTGTATTGAACATTCCCAAACATCTCGAAAACGATACCCAACTTGCCATTATTCGAAAAATCGCGCCCGCATCTTGGATTTAGAAATAAGTGCCATATTCGAAACCTAAAACCGAAAATGCCATAAGCAAACATTAAAGAAAATAACTGTTAAAATAGATTAAAAAATCGCTTAAGAATGCTCCCCTTTTAAGAAAATAAAATATTTCGCTTGAGTTACGAAAAGAAAGACATATAATAAGCTATCAAAGTTGTACTGGTGGTGCCAACACTATAGTAGAAACAAATATATAAGTACTGTAAATTTGTTGCAATATGTGCTCCAATTCAAATAAAATTAAAATAAATAATTATTCAATAAAGCATGAACGCAGAGCCGTTAAAAGTATTATAAAATAATTAAGTGTCCCAATCACTTACAGGAGTTAACGAAAACATTTAATGTTTATTAAAGTAAATATTAGTTCAAGATGCGCAAATAAATCTAAATTACAGGCACCACTAAAATTTACGTAATATAATTATTTTGATACAGAATAGCAAAATGGGGAGAAAAAAAATTCGTTACTTTGCAACACTTTCGTATCTTGTTGCCGCGAAATTATTTTTCTGTTTTAGTGAATATTTACATAAAAATATGAGTTGAAACGCATTACTTACTTGTGGAATGCGATGTTAGTGTCTATTTTATGTTTGTCTGTTGTATTTTTACACCCATTTACCGCACATTTCGTCATTTTTAGCAAAAAATTTTGGAGCTGTTCGCGGTGCAATATGACCTTGAAAACTAACAGCCCGCGCGCTCCTGGGACGCGTTTGGAACCCTCTAACTTGCCTCACTTAGCGTGTGCGGGCTAGGTTGTCTTTTGTTATTTCCATTTGATTGTTTTTACAAGATTTGATTGTTTTTGCATTTGATTGTTTCCTTTCTAAGTACTGATAGTTTTCCTATAAATAAATAAATTTCATATTTGTCTCATCGTAAAAATGGCATATCAAGAACAATCTGATTTAATGGTAGCTTATTTTTTAAATAAAAAAAATGTGAATTTAGCTCTGCGGTGGTATGAAGACAGATATCGGGATCGACAAGCTCCAACTCGATTCGTTCTGAAAAGAATGGTAAATAATTAAAAAAATACGGGTAGCTACGAGAAGCGACGGCAAACTCCTCAACAGAACTATTCCGAATTCGATCTTAATGTTTTAACATACTTCGAAGCATTTCCAAAGGCTTCAAGGAGAGATGCTGCAGAAGATTTTGGAGCGAACCACACTCGTGTACTCCAAGTGCTTAAAAAGTATAAGTATAAATGTTATCGTGACGGCCAGTTGGTGCAAAAATTGCATCCTGAGGATTGTGAGAGACGACTTCAATTTTGTCAAAACATGCTAAGAGAAGTTGGCCGTAACCCGAATTTTTTGAGTAGCATTGTATGGTCTGTCGAAACCAACTTCAGTAATAACGGCATGTACAACCGCCACAATAACCATTATTGGTCTCGAGTGAATCCTGTTCGTGTTCGTTCGTTCATAGGGTGTGTTAGTTGTTCCACCTCCACGCGTGCGAAGTTCTTGAGCAGTCTGTGATGACATCTTATCACAGAATGCCCAAGGATGTAGCCGGTACACCCTGGGGCCAACATTGACAACTCTCGGCTTCAGTCTGAGTCTTATCAGTGAGGGCGCCAAGCGATCAACACGGCCCGGCCATCCATTTATGAGGGTGGATCATGGCAAGTGTTGGGCGGTCTTAATCTACACCCTCCTGCGTTCATGCCTACGCAGTTGAGCGCCGTACGCAGGGATGAAGGAATCCTGGAGGGTTGAGCCCGAGTGGGGTGGGACCCCGGCAAGCAATACGCCCTCTTTGGCCCTGATTTCCTGCTAATCGGTAGCCCTGTGACTAGCCAACACAGGGAAATGGCAATGTGTCCCGTCAGAGGGCCACAGGCGAGGTGTGGGGGGGGACGGCCTCGGCCATGCTGACGGGGTGAGTATGTGCGGAACACCTGGCTGACTTTGATCGGGTCAGCCAGCCGCACATTTCGAGCCCCGATGTCGCGCAGTGAGCTACAATAGATGCGCGGATGAGGACTGGGAAAGCTACAAAACGGCCAAATCCAAACTAAAAAAGCGCATGCAGTTCAGGAGCACTGCATCATGGCGAGGCTACTGCGGGAACATTACGTCTTGTGCACAAGCGAACAGAATAAGGAAAATCCTAGGCAACTCAAATTCAACTGAGTTAGGTTCAATACGCAAAATAGACAACACATACACAACTTCCCCTGCGGAAACGGAGAGAACCATACTGGAAACACATTTCCCAGGATGTAGGTTCGTCCAAGACGACAGGTGCGAAGAAATGAACTATAATACTATAATATACTATACTATACTATAATCCATAACTGGCGATACGCTGAACAAGTAGTAACATACGAAAAGACAAAATGGGCAGTAAACACCTTTGAACTGTACAAAGCTCCGGGCCATGATGGAGTATTCCCAGCACTCCTAAAATGGGGCGGGGACACACTGGTCCAGCACCTGGTCGACATCTTTCGAGCCTGGCTAGCATTCAGCTATGTGCCCCACAGCTGGCGAGAGGTAAAAGTCATATTTATACCGAAACCAGGAAAAAACGACTACACTGACGCGAAGTCCTTCAGACCTATCAGCCTCACATCGTTCTTCCTGAAAACATTAGAAAGGCTATGTGACAGAGAACTGAGGGATGGTGCGCTTAAGAACATACCATTACACGGAAACCAACATTCATACAGCCAAGGCAAATCCACTGAGTCGGCCCTACATGCCGTTGTGGGCAAGATAGAAGTGGCCCTCAAAAACAAAGCAATTTGCCTAGGCACCTTTATAGATGTTAAAGGAGCCTTCGATAAAACCAACTTCTCCAGCATACAATCAGCACTGAGAAGACACGAAGTGGATGAAGTGCTGATCAGCTGGATTAGCAACATGCTAAAACAAAGAATGATAAAAACAACACCAAATGAGACCCCATGGGCCATAGTAGCGAAGGGGTGCCCTCAAGGGGGGTACTGTCGCCGCTGCTGTGGAACATGGTCGTAAATGACCTCATCATCAAACTAAGCAAAGAACATTTATATACAGTAGGATATGCTGATGACATAGTTATACTGGTAACAGGAAATTATGCCAATACACTCTGCGACATAACACAAGCTGCACTCCGGATTGTGAAAAGATAGTGCAGAGCATACGAACTATCGGTAAACCCGACAAAGACGGAACTAGTAATGTTTACAAACAAAAGACTACTGGGTAACTACCTACTACCCAAACTCTTCAGTACAGAACTAAAGTTATCAACCGAAGTCAAATACCTGGGGGTAATACTAGACAACAAGTTGAACTGGAACAAGCATCTGAACAACAAAATTCAAAAAGCCACTATTACCTTCTGGCAGTGCCATAGAATGGTGGGTAAACAATGGGGACTTTCACCTAAGATAACACTATGGCTCTACACGGCGGCGATAAAACCCATGATCAGTTACGGCGCTATAATATGGTGGTCACGAACCAAGCTGACAACTGCAACCGACAAGTTGGACAAATTCCAAAGACTCACCTGCGTGGCGACGACCGGCTGCATGAGGACAACACCAACTGCGGCCCTCGAAGCGATGCTGGACCTGCGACCCCTCCCACTGTTCATCAGACAGGAAGCGGCGTCAACAGCAGTGCGTCTAAATAGAGCCGGCCTTTGGAAGCACATGAGGACCCCATACACAGAAATCCTCTATAAGACTGTCAATGAGGAACCGCTACTGGAGGCGACTGTGGATAGGATCCCAAAACAATACATCTTCGACAAAAAATACAAGATACAATTGTTTGAAGAACCCAATGAAGGGCTGAACCCCAGAGAGGTCCGCGTCTTCACTGACGGATCTAAAATGAATTCGGGAACAGGTACTGGGGTATTCTCAGAAGACCTCAATATCAGGATATCAACACCACTTGGTGACCACAACACAGTATTCCAGGGTGAATGCATGGGCATCAAGCTGGCGGCAGAAGCAATCATAGCGAGAAGAGTTAAGAACCACTCCATTCGAATACTCTCCGATAGTATGTCAGTGCTACAAGCACTGAATAACTATGACATAGACTCAGGGCTCATTTATGAATGCCATCAAGCACTCATGGAGGTATGTATACAAAACCACATAACCCTACAGTGGATTAAAGGACACAGCGGCTCACGTGGCAATGATGCGGCAGATGAACTAGCCAGAAAAGGGTCGGAGATGGACGCTGTAGGACCAGAACCCATAGTATCCCTCCCCTACCAATGGTTCAGAACAACTATACACAAAGGTACAAAATCGTCACATAATAATGCATGGACGACCCTTACGGTCTGTAGACAGGTGAGGGAAGCACTCCCAATGCTCAATGCCAGTCTACCTCGCATATTTATTAAACTCAAAAGGCAAGAGCTTCGCACTCTAACTGCCGCCCTAACGGGTCATGGTCCATACAATAAACACCTTTTCAATTTAGGTATCACAGACAGCCCTCTATGCAGAGCGTGCATGGAGGGGGAGGAAACGGCTGCGCACATCCTACTACAGTGCTCCGGCGTGGCCAACTACAGGGCAAAGTACCTTGGAGTGCCAAGGTCGCTCCCCGAAGTCTTCAGTAAACTGAGGAGGCTGCTGAGATTCCTGGAGGAGCTTGGGTGGCACGAGTAGGACCCTGCACCCACCACACGCAAAATAGGCGCGTTGACGTCGAGTTGCGGACACCAGCCCGTTACACCAAGTACCAAGTACCAAGTTCGTGTTCATAAAATTAACAATCAAGTAAGATTCCCTTTCAACGTTTGGTGCGGAATTATGAGAAATATGGTTGTGTAAGTCCACGTGTACGAAGATCATTTGAACACTGTCAAGTATCTTGAAATACTGGATCTCTTAAGAAATGAGTTAAATGTTTTATCTGAGGAAGAGCGAAATCGAATAATTCTGCAGCAAGATGGCGCTCCAGCCCATAACAGCAGAGTCAATACTGCCTACATTAGTAACCATTTTAATACCTGGATTGGTACAAACGGCACAATCAGATGGCCTGCGAGATCACCAGATCTCACCCCTTTAGATTTTTTTTATAGGAATATGTTAAAAATCAAATTTACCTTAAATCCTATGCGAGTGTAAACGAGCTGAAGGCTGAGGTTTAGAATACAATTTGTAATACAATTCATCACAACACGTTATTAAAAGTTACTCAAAATGAATTCGTTAAAAGATTAAATTTGTGTATCCAAGAAAATGGAGCTCATTTCGAGCAACTACTTAGTTAGATTACCATTTTATTTTTTTTCATTTATTAAAATACGTTAAGATTTCATGGTTTTTTTCATATAATTAACCAATTTTGTGAGAGAGATTTTATTCTTATAATTAACCCTATCGATCGATGCAATAAAAATGCAGGGTGCATTTTTTACAGATTAAAGCGGGTTCGATTCCCGCGTGTTGCTAGAATTTTTCGAAAATCTATGAATGCAGTTTTATTTCTTTTTAAAGAAATAAAGGAATGTTTCCTTTAAGTAAAAATTTCTGTCTCCAGTATTTAGAGTACTTTCCCTTCAGGTGGCATTTCAAATTTCCACCCTGTATACTAGAAGGATAAAAGTGGCCAAAAAACTACATTAAAAAAGGTCTATTTCCGTAAATTATCAAGTTATTTCTGACGCTACACTTATTTTTCAAGGCAATATTTTTGTTGGGTTTCTTGCAATCACGCATTAATGGTTTTTAAAAATAAAATTATATATATCTACATTTCTCCGGAGAAACATAATAAACTGTATGAAAAGGTGGAAAAATGATCGTCATTACATCTTGAACGCCTTGACGCAGTAGATAATAATAATTAATAGCTGCTCTTTGAATTAAGTAAGGCGTTCAGACCAGGAAATTCACTGTCCTTTTTCCCGACTACGCCTACTTACAGCTACGTCTATAAAAATATCTCCCATTCGTGTAGTTTAGATTAAAGTACAAAACTCGATTTTTTGCGTCTATTAGAGCTGAAAATGGTTCTTATTTATTATCAATATCCTGAGGTGGTGCAAATGCAACTGAAAAACCTATGAAATATTTACCTTTGAAAACTGTAATATACATTTTTATGCTGATTATGCTGATAGTCTATTACTATATAATTATATAATATGCAGGAATGATTTCCATGTGCCATTCGCGAGCACTAATTATATACTCTTTTCTAATACACTACGTGAGGCGCACTATAAGTTCCCAGGATGAATAAGAAACCCCGATGTGTCGCAGCGGCAGTACGGGTTCAGGGCTGGACTCTCCACCCTGGACGCCCTGGAGTCGCTGCGACACATCGTGGAGGAGGGTAACGGCGAGGGGGAAGGCGTGGTGGCTGTGTCGTTGGACATAGCCAACGCCTTCGGCACTCTCCCCTTCGCCGTTATCAGGGAGGCGCTGAGGTACCATAATATCCCCAGGTACCTCAGCCGTCTGGTGGAGCACTACCTGGAGGACAGGGTGGTGCTCTACCAGACGAGGGAAGGGAGGCGCGCCGAGCGCCCAATGAGGTGCGGAGTACCCCAGGGGTCTGTATTAGGACCACTACTGTGGAACCTGGGGTACGATTGGGTGCTGAGGGGCGCGCTGCTCCCCCGGACGGCGGTCGTCGCGTACGCCGATGACACGCTGGTGGCCGTCCGGGGGACCACCTTCTAGGAGGCGGCTCGAAGAGCCTCAGTAGCGGCGGACATGGTGGTCCGCCGAATACAGCTGCTGGGGCTCGAGGTCGCCTTGCCGAAGACGGATGTGGCCGTCTTCGGCGGGAGGGGTAGAGGTTGGGCGGTGCCGGCAGGCGCCCACATCTCCATCGCGGGAGTATCGGTCCCGGTCAAGTCCCAGATGAAATATCTGGGACTTGTCCTGGACCGGCGATGGAACTTCAGGGAGCATTTCCGGCAACTTGCTCCCCGAATAGTGGGCGCCGCATCGGCGTTGGGCAGGCTCCTGCCCAACCTCGGGAGGCCGGGAGCCCCATGCAGAAGGCTATACGCCGGGGTGACTCGGAGTATGGCCTTATACGGGGCTCCCATTTGGATTGGGGCCATATCAGCGGCGACGAAGGCGCTGCTGAGGAGGCCCCAGAGGGTGGTCGCCCTGCGAATGTGCAGGGCGTACAGGACGGTGGCCTGCGCTGCCGCGTGCGTCTTCGCCGGTACTCCGCCGTGGGACCTCGAAGCCGAGGTCCTGGCGGAGGTCCGCACCTACCGGCGGGGAATGAGGGACCGAGGCGAGCGACCCGCTCCCCAAGACGTGGAGCGGGAGCGCCGCCTCGCGGCGCAGCGCATCCCCCCTATGGCGCTCGTACCATAGAGGCGATCCGCCCTGTCCTCGTAGAGTGGGTAAACCGGTCCCACGGGCCACTGTCGTACCACCTTGTGCAGGTGCTGACCGGGCGCGGCTGCTTCAGTCACTTCCTGCACAAGGTGGCGAGGAGGGAACCGTCCCCGTCGTGTCACGAGTGCGGCGCTGCGGATGACACCGCGCAGCACACCCTAGAGGTGTGTAGCCGGTGGGATGAGCAGCGCCGCACTCTGACGGGGACTGTAGCGCAGGACCTCTCGCTGCCGAGCGTGGTTGCCGCCATGCTCGATAGCGAGGAGTCCTGGGAGGCGGTGGCCTCCTTTTGCGCAGAGATTATGTCGCAAAAGGAGGCCGCGGAGCGGGTGCGCGAGGACGCGGCAGACGCGCACCCGCTTCGGCGCAGACGTACGGGGAGAAGGCGAAAGCAGTTCGCTGCTCGCCTGATCCCCTAGTGAGGCCAGCGGGCTCTGGACAGGGACTCCGGAGCCTGCATTGCACGGCCTCACTCGTCTGGGGGGCGGGTCAGAGGACAACCGACTCGCCCCTCCGTTGGCGCGGGAGCCCTGGCGTAAGCTAGGGCGGCCGGGCGGCGTCGTGGTGAATGTTCACTGATCCCACGGCGCCGACTCAACCGGCGAGAGGGAAACCCGGGGGGGTTTTAGTGGGGTAGGCCCTCCAGTCTGGAGGGAGAGTCCCCACATAACCCCTGAGTCTCCCTGGGCTCAGGGGTATCCACAAAGATTTCGCCCCCGTCAAAAAAAAAAAAAAAAAGGATGAATAAGAAAAAAATACTATAAATGGTCAGAAATTAATTTATTGTTTCTCAAAATATTCTCCGTTAGCGTTAATGCACTTTTTCCTACGAATGAACCAATTTTGAAAACATTTATGCCACTCCTCCGTGACAGGTTAGGTCCGTTACAGCCTCTTCAGGTTATGAAAATCGTTGACCGCGTAACTGGTTCTTAATTTTTGGAAATAAATAAAAGTCAGAAGGGGTCGGGACTGTACGCGGAATGGCTCATAAGGTCTACGTTGTTCACCTAAAAAATTCATTTGTCTGTCTGGCCGTGTGAGAACTGGCATAATCGTCGTGCAAGATGATACGGCGTTTACGGTAATTTTTACGGAGTTTGTCAATAACTTCCGGCAAACAAATGGTCGTGTATCAATCACTATTCGCGGTACAACAATTCTCCAAAGCAACAGTAGCCACGTGTCC